CCTCAGAGGCTCCAGCAAAAAATACAGGGCGTAACGCAAACAGCGCCGAGGATGAATCGTCGACTCCGACACCCGCCCGTGGCCGCGGAGTCCGTAGTCGCAGCACCAGGAAGACTCGACGCACCGAGCACGATTCCGGGGATGAGGAAGTGGAACTTGACAAGGACGAGATGGCAGAGGAGCTGGAGGAATTGAGACAAAGCTCCCGCTCCCGGCCTCGTCGCACTCGCCGGCGATCTCCCTCGATCCAGTATGAAGAACGCACTTCCAAGAAGCGTCGGACAGCCAAACCTGTCGACTATACCATCCCGCCAATTGATCTTGCGGCACTTGAGGTTGACGAGGAGGAAGAACCCTCACAAACCCCCGCCAGAGGCCGCAAAGGCGGAAAAAGTGGTGCCAGTCAAGCTTGGGAGCGTAATCTCAACAGCACATATGGCCCGTTTGGTGGTGGCGGAGGAGCCGGATCACTCTTTGCAGGCCCATGGGGTACTGGAGCCACTGGCGGCGTCGACTCAGATACCAGCGACGATGAGATGGTTCAGCGATCTGGTATCGGTGGCACCCTTGGCATGACACCGACTTCAGCTGCACCACCTGTTGGCCTGTTTAACCCCCCGGCCCAGACTCACAACGCTGATGGTTTTGGAGGTGCTGCCCCGAATGTTGGCAAGGTGAAGAACACGAAAGCACTTGCTGATGCGGATCCCCTCGGTGTCGACCTGAACGTCGACTTTAGCAAGGTTGGTGGCCTACAAGGTCACATCGACCAGCTCAAAGAGATGGTCCAGCTTCCTCTTCTCTATCCCGAGCTCTTCTTGAAGTTCCATGTCACACCACCTCGCGGTGTACTCTTCCACGGCCCTCCAGGTACCGGCAAAACTCTGCTTGCTAGAGCTCTCGCGAACTCGGTAGGAACTGGAGGTCGCAAGATCAGCTTTTATATGCGAAAAGGAGCCGATGCCCTCAGCAAGTGGGTTGGTGAGGCAGAGAAGCAGTTGCGTCTACTCTTTGAAGAGGCTCGGCGAACACAGCCGAGCATCATCTTCTTTGACGAGATTGATGGTCTAGCGCCCGTGCGTTCAAGTAAGCAGGAACAAATCCATGCTAGCATCGTCTCCACGCTTCTCGCCTTGATGGACGGTATGGATGGCCGCGGCCAAGTTATTGTCATTGGTGCCACAAACAGACCCGACAACATCGACCCAGCTCTACGACGCCCTGGCCGTTTCGACAGAGAGTTTTATTTCCCTCTGCCTGATATTGAGGGCCGCCGGTCTATTCTTGATATCCATACCAAAGACTGGGGCCTTTCGGACGAATTCAAGAATGCCCTAGCGGACAATACAAAAGGTTATGGTGGTGCGGATCTCCGAGCCCTCTGTACCGAGGCAGCACTCAACGCCATTCAGAGGACCTATCCGCAGATTTACAGCTCAAAAGAGAAGCTTGTTGTGAACCCTGATAATATCTCTGTCCACGCTACAGATTTTATGCTCTCTGTCAAAAAGATGATTCCCTCATCTGAGCGGTCAGCCTCCTCGGCGGCCACGCCAATCCCCCGGCCTGTCCAGCCACTATTAAGAGACCAATTTAAAGGTACTATCAAGATGTTGGACAACATTCTGCCGCGCCCAAAGAAAACTACGGCGCTTCAAGAGGCCATGTATGAGCAATATCAGGATGCAGACCACGGCTTTGGAAGAGAAGCCATGCATCAGGACTTCGAACGGTCTCGAATCTTCCGTCCCCGCCTACTCATCTGCGGCACGCCTGGAATGGGTCAGAATTACATGGCTGCTGCGTGTTTGCACTATCTGGAGGGTGTCCATGTTCAGAACTTTGACCTTGCAACCCTGCATGGTGATGGAAGGGTCAGAACCTCCCCTCTATCCGCTTAATGAACCATGCTAACTATAATCAGCCCTTGGAACAAGTTATTGTAAGCCTCTTCACGGAAGTCAAACGACACAAGCCGAGTGTCATATTCATCCCCAATGTCGATGCTTGGTGGAGCAATCTCAACGACCTGGCACTCACAACGTTCACGACAATTCTCAAAAACATACCGCCCGCTGACCCAGTACTGCTCCTTGGCACCTCGGAGACTGCCCCAGAGTCTATGGACCCAGACCTTCTTCATGAGCTCTTTGGATTTTCCAAAAAGAACAGAGCTTTTGTTGAAAGGCCAAATCGGGAGAATCGCATGGAGTTCTTCCAGAATATTGTCGCACATTTATGCAAGTCTCCCTCGGAGTTCCCTGATCCCGCAGACCGTAAGAAGCGTGTCATCGAAAATCTCCCTGTGGCCCCGCCGCCGCCCCCGAGGACTCTTACCAAGGAGGAAATCAAGGCCCAGCGGAAAGCTGACCTTCATCACCTAAACATGCTAAAAATGCGGCTACAGCCGATCATGGATCAGATTCACCGCAAATATCGCAAGTTCCGGCAACCTGTCATTCCATTTGCCCAAATTGCCTACTTGTTTGACGAATCAGACCCACACTTCGTACGACCGGATGTCGCTGAAGGCGAAACACGGCCTTTTGAGATTGCCAAGGACAGGGAGGGGACAAATGGGGTCAGGGAGGTCGCCACGGGCAAATTTTATTACAACCTTGAGACCACCACCATTGAGGAGCGTCTAGCAAATGGCTATTACGCCCGACCAAATGATTTCTACAAGGACATCAACAGGCTGTATCTCGATGCCAAAAATATCGGCGATCGAGATCGAACGCTCAAAGCGAACGAACTACGCACCAATGTCGAGGTGGACATTCACGACATAGGGCAGACCCTTACTAATCAAGGCATCCGTTTTGATGATATATACCAGCGGCAACTACAGAGAGCCAGGGAGGCCGAAGAGAAGGCGCGTAAAAAGCAAGCCTTCCAACCTGTCGTTGACTTAATCCAGTCTGATATGCCAGATGGCGATAGCGACTCTCAGGGCCCCGTCGGAATAGGGCTCCCGTTGCCCCGAGGGCCGCACACTACCGGTGCACGATTCATGGTTATGAGCCCCAAATCGAGCCCCCACCCTCTCACAAATGGCACATCGGCGTCTTCTGGCCAGGGTGGCGAGGATGTGGTTATGAGCGATGTCAATCAAGACACGCAGAGTCAGGCCAATGAGATGGGTCCGCCATTTCAATGGCATCGGCCTGAGCCCCGGTCACTTGGCGACTCGACAAGAGCGACAGCTGGAACTCAAATATCACAGCGCTCGGCATTCACGGCGGTCCCCCCTGGCGTATCTCCTTCCGCCATTCTGAATGATGCCTCCACTACCAAGACTTCGGATCCGTCAACAAACCGCGGCTCTGGAAACTGGAGCACCCAGCGCACGAATACCCAACATACCAATGGCCTCAATGGAAATGCGGATGAGCATTCACAGCTTGTCGACACGCAGTCCCAAAACAGGATTTCCTTTCCCAGCCAGGGGACTTCAAGTGAGAAAGACTGGGCACATTCGCAAGCCGCCGCCATGGCGCAGGGTATTCTGCCCGCCCGTATGGGAATTCACTTCCCCGGCGGTGTCCTCAGTGACGAAAGCAGCCCGACATCTTCGCAAGCACCGCGAAAATCGACCAATGTGACCAGCCTGGACAACATCTTGAATGATGATACTCCTACAACAACCACAACCAATACTAGCAGCAGCGGTCCACTCACGTCTCTACGCAACTCGGGAGTCTCGACAACCTCTTCGCAGCAACCTATCGTCCACGAGGGCCGCGTGCTCGAGTTCCACAACATGCTCGCCGATCGCACTTCGGGCTGCAGTGTCGAGCAGCTGGAGCAGATCAACCGCGAGCTGATGGATGAGATCTGGAAAACGCGCGGCGAGTGGAACCGCATGTCGGTGCTCTCTACACTCAACTCGGTCTTCAATGATACTATCGGCGACATTGAATTCTTGCAGGGCAAGCTGAACCGGAGCCGGAGCATAACAGCGTCGCAGGAGCAGGGAACGCAGCAGCAGCCGGAGGGGGCCGGGGAAGGATCGTCGGCCGAGTCTAGTACTCACGAGCCGCAGAAGAAGAGAGAGGCTTTTGTGAGGTTGAGAGGGGATGCTGCTTGATGATGAACTTGAGCACTGGTCAGTTGGCCACCCGGGGTGATGATGAACTTCACCCTTTCCTTTTTATTTTACGTATCGCGTGACAAAGCTTCGCGCAATTTCCTATTTATGGAGCTGGCTCAAGGGCATTTGATTGGAGTCAGTCAGGATGGACAAGGCGGACGGACAGAGAGTGGACTGATTGATGGACATACGGACGGACATAGAGCGACGGTACCTTGATCTCACCTAGGATTTGATGATGAATGGCTGGCTGCCTGGGATGGATGAAAAAACTGGATTGGAGGCGCAGCCATACATGGATGGGTACAGGTTGCCCACTTCTTTAGGTACCTGACTATGTTAAGTTGAGACTTCTTTTGCGCATCTCTTTTTTTCTTGTGGTCTCATGTGTGTGTTTGTGTGATAAGATATTTGTGCGGGTTTGGGTGGCTCGTTTGGTTACTTGAACATGCTATGGGAGGGTGGTCTGGTTTATTTTGCCTTTTCGCCGGCACATTTTGGGTTCTGAGGTAGAGGGGTCAGGAAGCATGAGAATGAGGAGGGGGAGCACAAGGGGGTCACATATGTTGTTGTCTCTTTTACTGTACTACTACAACCTATATATTCCAGTATCGGGTGTTCGAACAAGTAACGTGAACTTACGGCGTGTTAGTATGGCCGAGATTGAGAGTTCATCGGCGGGAGTCAACCAAGCCCCTGTCCCGTCAATATGTGTATCAAACTTTACTTCTCGGCGTACCAACGAAGCTTGGATGTTCGCAGATCCAAATTTTGCTATTCTACAGTCACTGAAATCGAATACACGTCTGTCTCTGAACCATTGTCAACAACGACAGTCCGTATGACACACATCCTAAAGAAAAAGCGCGATATAAACGGCAAAAGTAATCGCCTTCACCGGGAATTGAGCCCGACGGGGGGGTCGAACCCCCAACCTTGAGATGCCTGGAACCACTGGAGGATTCCGTAAGAGTCTCACGCTCTACTCACGCTCTACCGATTGAGCTAGCCGGGCTGGTTGTTTGCTGTTTGTTGAGAACATGGGTTAGTTGTGTGGCTTGTACACGGTCGGTGTCCACTGGGAGAGTTGAGCGACGAAGAATTTTCTTGAGTCTCCCCAATGTGTTTATCAAAGATTCGGGCTACGAGTTAATCATGAGGTGGGGTGTCTTGGGTGGACCAGGGACAGTACAAAGGCAGATAGCAAAAGGTTTGGGACATGAGTGCTGGCGCCCCTTTTCGAGGATCAACAGAGACATTGCAAAACACCAAGACTCAATGATTCGCGAAGAAGTAATTACGAATCTATGTCTACCAAACTCCATAAATAACTACAATAAAAAATCCAGTACATTCCCAAAACATAACCTCCAGCTTTTTCTTCCTTTTTTGACATCTATGTGACACCCATGACATATCCATTCATCAGGCAGTCACCTCGGCGAACCAAGTGCGCAACAGTGCCGCCAACGCACCCGGGAGATCCTCCAAATGGTGCACAATGAGGTAGTACGGGAAGGGGAAAGAATCGAGATAGCGGTGGATTACCGGCATCCCATCCGGTCCGAAGCGCGCCTCCTTGAGTTCGAGCACGCTGTGGCCCTTCTTGTTCTGCGCCGCATCGTCCATGACGATGAACACAACCATGACGCGTTGCTCCATAGCCTCGCGAAGTAATGGCCGCAGTCGCGCGTGATCCTTGGACTGTACCAGCCCATCGGAAAGAATCAATGCCAACTGCCAGAGGTCCTCGCCCGCCGAGCTTCCGGTTTGCATCAGGCGGGCGTCGCGGAAGTGGTCAATCGTATCCCGCAGAAGACGACACATGTCGGTCATCTCCTGGCGGAAGGTGAAGTGCTGCAGCATGCGCGCGCCGGTGTCGTGGGATGCGAATAGGGGCGCCGTCAGCTCGTGCGCAACGAAGACGTCGGAGCCGAAGCCCATCACACCGACTTGACCGACCTCGAGCATGGTTAGAGCGCGTGCCACCATGACGAGTGACTCGAGAGCGAGCCGGCCGGAAGAGGATGAGTTGTCGCCCATACTGCTACTGTCGTCGACGCAGAGCAGGATCTGGTAAGATCGCTTGCTGGGGATGCTACGGCGCATCCAAATCTTGTCGCGCTTGTAACTCGAAGCAATGTACGGGATGATCTTTTTGATGTTGAGCCGCTTTCCGGTGCGGAAGGAGCCCGAAAGCTTGGTTGATTGAGATGGAGTGAGGATCAGCCGGAGTTGCGAGGACAGTGAAAGGGAGAGAGAATGTGTCTTGGTTTGGAAGGCTGTCCACATGTCGAGGGCTTCCGAGAAATCTCGCAGCGTCTTGTCGCCCTCATTGAGGTGCGTGGCAGAAAGCCGAGTAGAGGTCTCATCCACCTTGTCAACCTCCTCATCTGCCTCTGCCTCTGTCCTAGGTACTGCGTCGTCTTCCTCATCCAGGGCTCCTTGTCGTGTGGCAACACCAGTGCGGCCATCTTCACGATCCGTCTTCGGGGCATCGCGCAGCTCGGTCAAATCCATATCCTCCATCTCAACGTCTTGCTTGATTTCGTCCTCCGGGGCATCATCAACCAGAGCGGGGTTTCGACCATTGTCCATTTCAGTGTCGATCGCCATCGCGTCATCCATGGGGCGGACCTCCTCGTCCGTGGCAGTGCCTAGGGCCTGCGCATCGGCCTCGGCATTGTCGTCTTGGAGGTGCTGAAACTCGGCCTTCGCCATGTCATTGGATGTGTTGTCCATCTTCTCCTGACTCTCTGCGGGTTTCTGGATATCACGCTGGCTCTTGTACCATCGCTCGAGTGCGTCTCCGAGTTTCTTGAAAGGCTGGGCTTCGTTCGCATCAGCTGCATCCGGGTCATCGGAGGGCCCTTGGTCTTGATCTGCTCGCGAGAGAGCACCCCTTTCTCCAGGCGCGGCGTTTTCCTTGTCTGCCGCTTTCTGGCCAACTGCTCCCTGGTCTCGCTGGGCGGCCTTGTTCTCGGATTGCTCTTCCGTGTTCTTGTCGTTATCCTCAACCTGGCCTCCGCCGGTCTGAGCGTCGCTGGGAGCTGCGTTATCCTGATCCGCCACAGCCTGGTCGTCGGGCAGCTGAGGTCGATCGGGTTTCTTTTCTTCGTCACCCTGCTGTTGCTCTTCCTCCTCCTTCTCCTTGTCCATATCATCAACATCCATCTCCTCTTCCTTGCCAAGCGCATTGACGTCCTCCTCAACGTGCTCCTCCATGTTGCCTTCATCTTGCTGGGCCTCACCGGTGTGCTGCTCCTCGTCCCCGCTCTCTGACCCCTCTTCCTCCTTCTCATCAAGTTTGCCAAGGTCCTCGACATCAGACAAGTCGGACAGGTTATCATCCTCCCCTGACACAGACTCGTCGTCAATGTCAATCACCATATCCTCTGGTAGTACCAGCGTGTCATTGTCGGGCACGTTCTGGTCCTGGTGATTGAGGTCCTCCTGGGGTGCCGCCTCTTGCTCTGCAGCAGGATCTCCCTCGGCCTCGTCGGCCTCCTCCCCCTTTTCACCGCTATCTTCCGGCTTGGTTTCTTCATTGTCCTGGGGTTGGTCCTTCTTGTTGTCAGACTCTTCAGCTGCAGTTTGCTCGTTTTCGTCCTTCTCTCCCTTGGAATTGTCGCCCTTCTGGTCCTTCTCCGCATCATCTTCACCGCTGCCATCCCACATTTTCTCATCAACGGCCGTGGGATCTAGATCATCCACATCACCCGCCTCATCCTCCCTGTCCGAATTGTCCCCATCTTCCTCTCCAGACTTGTCACCCTCGTCCTCCTCATCACCACCAACGCTTCCCATATCTCCCTCCAACTCATCCTCACCCATGTCGACGGCGTCTTTGTTGTCCTCGATATCAGTCTTTGTCTTGTTGTTAGGATCTTGCGCGAGGTCCGAAAGGTCCTCATCCGCCTTAATATCTTTGCTGATATCCTCGGCACCGTCGCCGTCACCCAGACCGGTACCACTCTCGACCTGGCCAGAGTCTCCAGACTTTTCTTCGCTCTTTTCCTGCGGGCCGCAGAAACCCTGCGCTGCGATCTGAACAAAAGAGTTGCTCAGAGTATACCCCATCCTACACGTCGTCCTGTGCAGCTCACGAAACTGCGCGACATTGTGTCGGCATGCTGCCGCGTACTGCTCTAGAATAGGGAGTACCACACGCAGTAAGACAGTGGCCGGGTGTCGGATGACGGGCTGGCCCATGTCCAAACCCTTGAGCTGCTGAAGGAGCCCATCGACCGCCTCTCCGATCTTTGACATGCTAAGGGCATCAATCGACTTATCAAGACCGTCGCTGTACTTGAGGAACCAGCTTGCCTCTTCCGTGGTTGTGGGTAGGACCTGGATTGCCTTTTGGAAGTTCTGGAGAGCAACAAGAACCTTGCTGGAGAGCGTCAAAACTGAGTTCGTGAAGTCGTCGGGGTTATTGCTTCCGTGAACGCCATTCACGGCGTTGATGGTCTGCGTGTTGGTCCAGAGACTGATCTGCTGGATGATGAAAGCGATGTCAGGCCTGCCTTGCTGTATGGAACCAAGAGAATATCGGAGACTCTCGAGTTCCCGTTCCACCTCTGCTTGAAGCTGTTCATGGCTAGATGAGCTGAAGCCAGTCGGAAGATGAGGCAGCTTGTCCTGAGCAGAACCCAATGCGGTGAAGGTATCCAGCCACTTGCTGAGCTCGCTAATAACACCATCGTTGTCCACGTTTCCGAGCTTTTCATGGACCCCAATTAGGTGAATTCCGAACTTGAGCAATTGAACCAGCCAGCGGATGACCTGGGTGTGGTTTGTCAACGCCGTTTGTGGCCTAAAGTCCCTGTCGTCATCGCTCTGAGTAAGCTCCTTAACGGATGTGATAGACTGCTCGAGTGAGTTCGCCGCTCCAGCGCTGCGTGAGAGAGATTGGCGCTGGCGGATCATGACGTAAAGAACGCCCTCCAGATACCCAATGCTCCGAGCAACGAGTTCGCGGTTGAGATCATCAGAATGGTCTAGCGCTGCTTGTCGACAGCGAGGGGTAAGATCCAATGTTTTGTGGTAGAAGTACTCGATGGCATCCAGCGAGGAGCTGGCTAGAGGAGGTACAAGACCAGAATCAACCAATATGAGCTGCGTCGTGCTCTGCCGCCCAAGTTTGTTGGTTCCAAGGTTCCGGCTGAAACCCATTCCGCGGATTGTCTTGAGAGTGTCATTGTAGAGCAACGTCTTGCGCGTCTTGAGGTGGAGGATCAGCTTCTTGGTCTCATCGGTCAGTTCGCTTGGTGTCTCCTTGCGTAGGGTGGCAATGGACACCACAAGATCGGTGATGTATTCATCTACCGTGTCGGCAGCATTCACTGCTTCGGTCGGTAGCGAGCCATATTTAGCCATGGCCTTGAGGACACCATCCAGATTGGCCATCCGCGCCCACTGAGGGAGGTTTTGAATGCCTGGGATAAGTGTCTGACACAGTGCCACTGCATCCTTGTCGGCTCGAAGCTCGGACAGAACTGACTGGGAGGCTACGATTGAGTGCTCCTCGTCTGGGAGCCCTTGTTCCATAATCGCCTTGACAGGCTGCTCCAACACAGCGCGAAACTTGCGGACAAGCTTGAAGAGCTTCTGATGCGACTTGCGGGCACTGTCTCTGAGCGACTCGATGTTCTTGTCCCTCCATCTGAACATCAGAAGCACGTCCTTCATCTTCCGATCCAGGGGGATCCTGCCGGTGCGGATAGTATCATTGACCTTGCGCTGGTAACGGCTGTAGTAGTTGATGAAGTTCTGGACTGCATCGCTTATTATGGACAGTGCGGGTTGCTTCAACGTCAGCACATCGAGCTGGCTCTTGAGCTGGCGAAGCAGGTTGAAACGTGAGGCAAATTGTCCGACACTCGCGCTCAAAAAGTACGTCTCGAGAATTCTTAGCAGACCAACGGCGTGGTCCTTGAGGTCTTGACCCTTTTGGAGGATCGAACCTGGCTCGAGAATAACCGCACCATAGGCAATGAACCACCACGCTTTGGC